TGCTTTGATCTTTATATTGCTGACCTGGTGGGCCCTATCTGCAATTCCTGCTCTGTTTTGAGAGTCCAGCCCTTGTGAAATAGGACTGGTTACTGAGTACCTCGCTGTAGATTTCAGTCAGTTGATATATCCTAGTTTGAAAACATTATCTCAATAGTGCGAGCAGCAAGAACAACTTTTAATGTTTTCTCTTACCATCTGACACTTGTTAGAACTTAGGTCCAACCTTATGCTTTTAATGTGAAGCTTTTACTCTGAACATCTGAAAAGTTTGAATTGGCAGCAGAACACAGAGTTTTGTGGTTGTTTTGTTGGCTTTTTTGTTTTGTTTTGATTTTAAACTAAGTTCTGACTTGTCAGCTCAGTTCAGTCCTTCCATTGCTGGAAATAAAGTAGAATGAGAGATTTATGCAAAAGCCTCTTTTTAAGTAAAGTATTCTGTTTTGGAAATGTGAATATCTTATTACTACACACGCAACTTCATATTACAGTAGACTTATAGTATGGACAGCAAAAAAGTGCCATTTGAGGAAAAGCAAAATAAAATGGTTATAGGTTTGTTTTTGTTATACATAAAAGTAAATCGGGGATTGCGAAAATAAGGCCTTGACCGTTGGTGAAAAGGGCTTAAAGTGATTACAAGCGATTTGCACAAAGTGAACTGGAAATAAATGAAGCAGTTGGAATCAATGCTATTTCTAGCCCAGTGGTAGTTACCGAATTGTCAGCAAACCCCTGTTTGGATCGCTGACTAGAGTATGGACTTTTGATGCAATATATACCTGTTTTCAGTACAGCATAGGAATTTTTTCACCTATCAGGGAAGACATACACACAGGTCTGAATGGTAATATCAAAGACAAATACCCTGCTGTTTCTAACACAGTTGGTAACTTTATTCTGATTTGATATCTATAATGTCAGTCGTCTTTTCTGTTTTAATTGGCATAATTATGACAAACTACAGAGACAGCACTTTCACAGAAATTGCATTAATTTGCTGCAGAAGTCTGGTGATAGGAATCACTGGTTACCAATTCCTGCTTCACATGAAAATTGGAATCAGGTGTGATACTTTGTCAGGCTTTGATACTTCAAGCCCAATTAAGTAAATCATCACAGTGGTTGCATATTACATAGTTTCAGGTCAAAAACTCCTCTTTAGTAGATCTGACAATAAATAATTACTTTCCAGGGACTACAAAGGAGAAGAATTAATATCTTTTTCCCTTTAAATTTTGAAGGTTTATTAATTTAAAAAGAATTAAATGAAAGTTTTGTTTTGTTTAGCTTCTATTAGCAGACTTTCATTTGGCTCTTGGAGAGTTTTCTCCACGTTGCCTCCTTTTAATTCCCCTGGGAAAAAGAGGAGAGGGATGAGAAAATGGGTTAGAAGAAAGAAGGAATGAAGCAGAAAACTGAGAACCAAATCAAAAAGAAAGCTTTCAGTTCTAATTGAAACTAAATGAAAATGCACAGCTGAATCAGGTACAACAAAAATGCCTATTAAAAAATGAAATTTTGTTGTGAATTTTAACGACCTTCAAATACAATACAGGAATCTTATATCAGCAAAATGAGTTAAAATATCTTAGCGACTTTTCCCGTTCCGACTTCTGCATACCCGGTTGCCTGATCTCGTTTCCATGGTCTTCATAGCTAAGAGTTCCTCCGAATGGAGCAGCGTTCTCGTGTGTAGCTCATGTCCTCTGGAGGCACAGGGCCCTCCCAGAGACTGCTGAAAAAAGTCGCAGGAAGGTTGCTTAACCGACATGAGGATGTGTTCTTCTTTAGAGTCTGCTGCTTAATGCAGATAAATGTGACTTCAGAGTACATTTGCCTTCACTGAAGTCTGTGGTGCAGACCAGAGCTGTTTTGTGGGAGTTGCTTGCAATATACGTCGTGTGAAATGCCAGGTATCTCAGAATTGTTCTCTGGTAACTTGTACGTCACTTACAGCAAGCAAGAGTCTGTGCTTTGTAGCTTTGCAGAAATCTAAGTATTAACTCCTTCTTTTCTGTTTCTGTAGGCAGAGCAATATCAAAAGAAGAATCGGAAGATGCTTGTAATTTTAATTTTGTTTGTTATAGTAATTGTCCTTATTGTTGTTCTTATTGGCGTAAAGTCACACTAGGTTTCACTTCTTTTTCTCATTTTTGGAGTTTATGTGAACTTTTTTCCCCAGTGTGAATGGATGGACCTGCACTCCAGAAAGCTGCCTTTGAATGTATAAGCCCTTGTGGTGCAAAGTCTGTGCAATGTTTCTGTAGAACTCTTCAAAGTACAAGTTTGGTGATCTGTGAGGTGTTTGTAAGGATTATATGGAAAATGTCAGGAAACTTGATGCTCCCACACAAATCCTTCGGCGCTCTATGCAGAGGTATTTGGAAACACAGTACTTAAAAATAATTACAAAATTGAAGTTCACCAGTGAGTACAGTAATTGGTGTGTTACTGTGAACAAAAATGTGTTGTCTTCTGTACTCTTAAGTCACAGTTGTGACAGGCTTCAGATTTAAACCGTGTTACTGAGTCATGGGACTAGAAAACAAAAATTGATCTAGGTGTAAAATACGTTGAGGCACAGAATTGTTTGACTTCATCTCCTTTCTTCCAGACTCAAAAACTCCAAAGAACTGGATAGACAGCTAAAACACAGAGCTTTTAGCAACCAGAATGTAATCCAGCCCCTGTGATCTTAATTTAGATACTGCACCATTACTAAGAATCAGAGTAGTACTTGATCTTGTAAATAACAAGATTTAATCACTGGCATAATTTAACACATTTAGTTAATTAAAAAATTTTCTGAGATTAAGTAATCACGGGAATGTTTTTCCTCCCCAGAATGATGATACATATTTTTTCATCTACATTTTTTTTATAGTTTAAAGTACAGACATTACATTAAAGCGGTGGTGAAGTTAAACCTAAAAAATTGAGATTCTCCTTCTGGCTTTGTACTCCATCTGACCCGCCGTAGTGGGTCACAAATGTTTCAAACTGAAGTTGTTGATAAGGTGTTTATTTTACAGTGCATCTGTCCATATGTGTTATGGTTTTTGTATAAGAACTGACTTCACTACAGTCTATCTTACATCCATTTTCCCTGACAGAAGATTATTTATTTCAAACGCCTGCCTGGAAAAGGATGTGTTTATGGTCTTTTACTGACCAGGAGGGATGTCATGCTAGTGACATGTTACTAGGCCTTCAGTAGAGGATTTGGAGTTTTGTCACTATTTTTTTCAGTGGAAAACTTTGCTGTAGGCCATAAAAGAGAAATTAGGGAAACATCTAAGTAATAGAATACTCGTGATTCAATTCAGGCCTGAAGTGGTGTGCAATTGTGGAGGCCTTGCCTTAGTATTTTTGATACGGCTTTTCTGTATGGATTTTTTCCCCAAAGGGACTGTAACTTATATCCGTCACTTTCTGACTGATACAGTGCTCCCCGTAAACTCGCAGAGATGCTCTGCTCGAAGCCCCTGAAGTGCAGTTTCATAACACTATGATATTAATGTTGCATATGTCGCCTGCCCCGAGTTTATCTTTACTACGTACTGAGGAGGAGTTAAGATGTGGCTTTAAACTGACTCGGTGCAGGAACGGCCCTGAAAGCAAAGACTGCACAGATGCAAAAGCCTCGGCTTCTGCGTGGCGTATTGTCAAAAGCTTTGTACCGCTCTTGTCACCTCTAGGCAAAGGGGATATTTAACTTCCAAAACTGCCTGTTCGAACCCTTGATTAAATTCGTAAAGTAGCTTGGTAAAGAATGAACGACGCGTGTAGTTGGGTGTGCAGCTCCCCTGTTCTGGTAATAGATCTGTTCAATGATCGTGAGTAAAACTACTGTCTCCCCAGTGTGCTGTCTGCATCGGTTGGTGTGAAGCAGCATATTGCTATAATTTAAAATACTGTATTTGCAACTTTCTCTCTAACATGAGATCGTGTTATTTATTTCTGTCTTGACTGGTGCTTTTGGCATTTTATCATGGCTAATGAATTCAAAGAAGTAATAAAACACCTCCAACCGAATTGGTCAATTACTCATTTTTTTTAAAAATATAAACTGAAACGTACTTGTGTGAAGTTAATGTGTCTCCATATACTCTTGGTAATTACATGAAAGCAGCGGTGACATGAAATATCTTTGAAAAAAAAAAAATATTGTAACTTTCTGTAGCACAATGTAACTTGCATTGTCAAGAGTGATCCTCCGCCGTGGTTGTCATTGAAATGCCCGTGGTCTCTTAACTCCACTGAGGTGATTTTCCATCCAAATTCTGTAAAAGGCAATGTGCTTCTAATACGCATCGCACAAGAGGTTAAACTCGGATGTCAACTGTCCTGTGTAACTTGAGCTGGAATTTATTGAAGATGATTATACCCAGGAGAAAAACCTCAGCAAGACAACTTCTGGGCTTCTAAATCGTTTCAGATGTCTAGCTTGTTACAGTTCAGTCCAAACGATCAGCAGCTAAATCAAACCCTCATGCGGTGCTCTGTGAAAATCTCGCTGCCCCGTGTGTGATGGGGGGTACCATGTGTGCCACCGGGCAGGGAAAGCCCCGAAAAGCCGCTGCCACTGAGGGGTAGTGTGGCTGTGTCGGGGCTGCTGCCTGCTCTGGAGTCAGCGGAGCAAGAGCTGCCCAAACCTGACGACTGCGCTTCTGTCTGGCCCCGGAGTCGGCTCCGTGCTGCTGCGGAGAAAGCCGGCACGCTCTGCTGCGGAATGGGGCCTCTTCGTGGTTGCTGGATTCTTCTTCTCGGCTTGTACAGAACCTCCGATTCCTTACAAAGCGCAACGGGAAACTGCGTTACTGCAACAGAACAGTGTTGCTAGAGCATCGCCCGAGAGCCCGCGGCCCCCCCACCTGGGGGGAACGACCGATAAAGCTGTTGGCTTGTACAGAATTTCTCCATTAAAATGCATGCAAGCGTGCAAAAATGAGTTGCTACTCCTTGTTAACACAAGTTAATTCTAGTGATATGCGAAAATGATGGTATGAAAAGCACTGTGATCGCAAATTTCTTTCTACTGCAGCCTTCTATAGAAACTGAAAAGTTAAATGGAAGAATTAGTTTCTTGCTTGGTGTATTTTGGAATGTGCTGAAAATTTAAATTAGTGTAATTGATACAATGTTCAGTGAGGCTGCCTAGATTGCATTGATTTAGGAATTGCTTTTATGAGACACTTAAAACACAAAGTCATATCTCTTGCTTAAATCCTTGGAAACCTTGCTTTTGGTACAGCCTTGCAAAATGTAAGTTCTTGCATAGGTGACAGTGAATCTGATTTTGTTGGGAAAAAATGTGTATTTGCTATCCAAAAGAAACCCAAACTTGCCTTCCCAGGTAAATTACAATTCATTAAAAGAGGGAATCGGTTATGATTTTGCATATCAGTTGTGATGGGTTATGTAAGATGATGTTTGAGTCGCTTAATTTCATGAATACTTACAACTTGCGGAGGAGCGGCCACGGGAGATCGGTCCGCGCTGCAGTTTCCACTGTGGCTCCTGCGAGCAGAGGTGTTTGCAGGAACTGTTGGGGGAAGCATGCAGGTTTCTGTGCTGTGGGTGGAACTGACCTTCTCAGTCTGTTGCCTCAACGGGGCCCCTCCTCTGCTGCCGTGACCTCCATGAGGGAAGGATGGAGGGTTAGATGAGTGTCTCCGCCGCTTTGTTTACCTCTCCGATAACGGGGGCTCGGGGACAGCGCGGTGCTGATACTGCTGCGGTAGCGGGAACAGCAGGATCCCGGTGCAGTGACGAGGAACTCACTGCCTGGGTGAGCCTTTGGGATGTCTCAATGCTGAAATAATGGCGGTGTGTTATTGTTGTCTTTTGTGTCTTGAAGTGACAGTGTTCCCATTCTGTGGCGCAGTAAAGAGACCTGGAAACATTGGAGCTGGAGCTCGTCTGTCGGGTTACGGCCATGCGTGATGGACCTGTGCAACGGATTCTGCTAGATCTTATATTCAGACTAATTTTAAAAGTATCAGGCAATAAAGTTTCCATGATGTCCCTTTAGAGACCAAGACAGACCTTAGTCTAAGGAAGCTTTTTCTGCAATTCAGCCCTATTTTTTCTTTTTTAGACGTGTTTCCATTACGTGCATCAGCGTTCACTTTTCCAGTGGAAGTGCACTCCCTTTCTGATGGTTAGCTTTTCCCAGCTGCAGATTAATGAGTATCGATTCCCGACTGACCTGACATTAATAGGAGGTGATTGGCCAATATAAAGAGATGAGAATAAATACCCTGTTAAATTTAAAATAAACATTTAAATTCATTACAAAAGCTGGTGTTTGGAAAACGCTTTTCTTTCCGCGAGTGCCCGTGCTGTACCTTAGAGCCTAGTTTGGCTTTTTCCCGTTTCTGGGATATTTTCCGATGTACGTTTCACCCGTCAGTGGAATTCACGAGGAAAAGAGGAATTCGGCTTTGTCTGGTTTTACCCCTATGTAACACCGCACTCTCAAAGTGCGCCGTCTCCGCCCCAAGACGGCGTTACGAAGGGGCAGCAGGGACCGCTCGCGGCTGTGCCGGTCCGCCCGTGCCGGCGCGTCGCTCACCGGGGCCTTCCCGCGGGCGGGGGAGGGCC